AACCAAAATCTAAACAATACAGAGTACAGGCAGTAACTCGATTAGCTTTCAAGTCTTTAATGTGATGGAGCATTTTGAGTTAGTCATGAAGAGTTCACATGATATCTTCATCTCGATATAGAAAATACCTAAAACAGTGCATAAAGCCACAACGAAACATCATCAAAAACTGTGTACTTGTATTGAACAATCGTCTAATGAGAGGAAAATAAATGCATTTGTGTAACAAGCTGTTTTAGCAGAAAGAAAAGCAGTTGTCGTTCTGAGTTGTTGCTGTCAAACTTGTTTAATTTTTCCTGCCAATGAAAAGATTTTTTTATTTTATTAGCACCAGGTATCCAGGCCAAGGCCCGACTAATCCCAAGGATGCACATGCCCTCGGCAAGGAGTTTCCTGTGAGTGCACCATGGTTAATTCATGGGTTTTGCCCAAGTCTAATAGCCCCTGGGATCCTGGACAAGAGCACACTATCAAGTCCCAACTCTTCTCCATTAGGCCAACCCAATGGGGTTGCCAATGAAAAGATGATAGAAAAGAAGTTAGTGTTTAGGCATGCATTTAACCTGAAGTCCCAATTATCCAACAAGTGTTCCCTATTGTACCTTCTTACCATATGCACATCCCGTTTGGGTAGCAAAACCAGCCAAGATTAACCAAAAAGTCAATACAAGAAAGCACCAGGCTATCAGAAAAATCACAAAATCTACATTTATGCAGCAATGACCTTTTCAAGGACGGCATAATGGGTCAAATCTTTCATGATTTCAGTAAGGATCTTATTTCTGCAGGATAAAATTTCTTCTAAGTCAAGATTGATCTAATGATTGTAATATGTAAGGGAATGCATGCAAGCCAAAAGAAGAACAGATAACCAAGCTCCCTAGAATACCCATCCTGATCTCATTCACATCACAATGCCATTTCAAGGCATTTGCAAAAAACCAATTTCCATATATCAACTCACTATAGTCAAATACACTGCAGACGTTATTAACAACAATGCCCAATACAGAAAAGCAAACGGTACTGAAAATTAACTGGTTCATTTCAAAAACTGTATCAAGCCAAATCATCCTCCATTATAGGTATTCCTTTAAACATATAAACATGCATTCTATGTCATTAGAAATTCTAAAGTCAGCAAAACAAATTTAAATCATATAGGATGAGGTATCATGCATTATTAAATCTACATGGATCTATGAGTCAGGCGTATGCCTTCTAGAAGCTACATGGTTCAATTGAGCATTTAGGTGCCAACTCAAACTGCCTATAATTTGATCTGTCCAAATTTTAGTGTCAAGTAATAAGGGCCATGGAATAGCTGAGATAAGACCACGATATTTTTTATACTACCATGTAGACAAAATAAATAAGCTAACACACAAATGCCAACTCTAGTAAACAATTTGCACAACATCCACCAGAAACTCGAACCCAAAGAAGGAACAAAATTTGAAAAGGCAGTAAAAACTCTCTTTTTCACCGAGTTTCACTTCAGTGCCTCCATATTCAGGCAGAAGAACAGTATCTCCTTCCTTCAGAGTAACAGGAATCAACTTGCAGTCTTTATCACGAGCTCCGGGACCCACCACAACAACTTTTCCAGAATTCAGCTAGAATTATGAAGCATTAAAAGAAATCATGAGGTCAAAAAACAATCAGTAATCACCTCATGTATCCAGCAATCAAACAAATGAATAAACTTAGATTTACATCATAGCATAACAGAATAAGAATTAGCCTTCGATTTTCTTGTAAGGCATAAACTTATGAAACTGGCAAGAAACAAATACACATAAGTTGAGCATGCTGCACTATCAAGGTGAGCCAATTACCATGGAATAAAAAATAACAGCAGTCGTGAGAACTTGAATGTTAGTAATTTATTTCCAATGAAGCGTATATTAAAACTAAGAACCTCCCAATCCCAACAAAACCATTTAAAATTGAGCTAAAGCACTTAACCGTCACTGTTAGCAATTAAACTGAAGCTGAAGTTTCAGATTCGTGCATGAACCAATTCAGATTTTAGTACTCAGAATAAAGTTATTTTACAAGCCAAACGTTGCTTATGTTCAATACTTCAATTGGAGGATTTGTGGGGGGTGACATAAAGAACCCAGATTCTAATATGTGGTTGCCTTAGGTTTTGAGACTCAAAATGTAATGCAATACAACTATTTGCAACAAAAATAAATCTTAGACATAAGTTTAGTTTAGCTATGATTAACCACGTACTAATGCCTCTTGGAGTTGAGAGAATCCCTCCCTAATAAAAGAGTTCATTACACTTCATATCACGCACAGTAGTAAAGCAGTTTCAATGCCGCATGCATCAAACGGAATGAAAGTAAAGAGAAAGGGATGACCTTGGGGGTTTTCTCAGGAAGAAGAATACCGGTGATGGTCTTGGAAGGAGGGATTATTTTCTCCACCAGTATGCGATTAAATGTCGGGATCAAACGCTTTGCCATCTTCACTCCTCTTCAGCCTTCGCACGCACTGACTGAGTCTAGAAAGAGAAAGAGTGATAGCAGAACAGTGAGTACTTGAAACCTCTTCTGGGCTACTTTAAATGGGTTTGTTGAGTTGGAGATCCAATACAAGCGAGATGATGCCGGGAGGGTTTAACGAGGAGTTTAATGTTTTGTTTGTCAAATTCCACAACTGCGCATCTTGCCCATGCCCTTTTCCCTCGCTCCCTTTTTTTTTTTTAACCAAAAGCCATACAAACAAATAAATTGTCCGAACCCAAAGGGTTCTACCCAACTCGCCTTGGTAGTGACCACTTACTGGTACCTTGTGATATGCCTAGATGAGCTGTTGCCAATAAGTTGCATGGCACCAAACAATCTTACCCTGCCTAGCTAAACACATTTTTTCTTTGAAACAACTTATAGACTTCATATATTTAATATAAAGGGACAAGTCCAACCTTTGGACGCCCTGGACAAAGCAGTGGCTTGAGCTCTGAGAAAGACGGGTCAAAAACTTCACATTTTCCTGCTAAATGATGGCTTTACTAGCGCACAAATTGACCATCACTTGGATTGAAAACATCGCCTGCTAAATGATGGCTTTACTAGCACACAAATTTGTAAAGTCATATAATTAGGTGGCATAATTAATGGGATTTGAGTGGGAGATGAGTTGTAATTGGTGGAGGATGAGTGGAGGATGAGTGGAGGATGAGTTGGTATAATTAATGGAGTATGAGTGAAGGATGAGTTGTTAGGCATATATTCCTCCTAAATTTATGACCATTATACCCTCACTCTTGCCTATAAATAGGCAATGCATTCAAGCCTATATGCACACCAAAATAGAGAGAAGAAGAAGAGAGTGAAGAGAGAGTAATCCCACAA